TGATCTGTAAGTGTTCTTCAAATATTCCAGATGCTAGTCATTTCTCAATGTGTGCTGCAAATATCTTCCTCAAATTCATCTGAAATTTGTCAATCTTTTTATTTAGGATTTTTTTTTTTAATTTACTTGAGAGGCAGAGTTGGGGGGGGAGAGAGAGAGCGGTCTTCCACCCACTGGTTCAATCCCCAATTGGCACAGCTGGAGCCAATACAAAGCCAGATGCCCGGTGCAATCTTCCACTGCTTTCCCAGGCCATAGCACAGAGCTGGAATAAAGAGTAGCTGGGACTCTAATCGGCACCCAAATGGGATGCTGGCAATGAAGGCAGAGGCTCAGCTTACTGTGCCACAGCGCCAGTCCAGGATTTGTGCTTTGTGTGTCTTAAGACATTCTTCCCCATTCTAATATTGGATAGTCTCCATGGTTTTTTTTCAGTAGTTTTGTGCATGAAGGTCATTAACCACCACCCCCAACTGATTTTTGTGTATGGCATAAGGCACGATTTTCCTTTATTTTTTGCCATTTGGATCACCAACTGTCACCATCCAGTTTCACCCTTTCCCCATTAATCTGGATGACACCCCTGTCACACACTAAGTGTTTATGTATGGATGGGTCAGCTAATAGACTCCACACCAATCTCGCTCTCTGTGTCTGTCCCACTCATCTAAGCTCTAATTACAGTCATAACAATACCTCACACTTAAACAGCACGCTAGAATTTACAGAGCTCCTCCAACTCCATTATCCAATTCAAACCTCAGAACGGTCCTACGAATTGGGTGTTATTCTGGGATGAAGACACCAATCTCATAAAGGTTAGGTGAATTATCCAGTCCCCAGGTGGGAATGGAAGAGGAAGGACGCAATGTCACGTGTTCAGTTACACTCGTTCCATGGAACTGTCTGGCAAGGACGAGAACTCTGTCCTTCAAACAGCTCCCAAACACAGCCCTGCACTCTGTCCACACATGTCTAAAACAAACAAAACCCTGAGAAGTGAAGAAATGGTTTAGCAAGCCTGGTTGTTGGGACAGACGGGTCCACTATTCTGAGAGCAGGCTGCCCAGCTGGCCTCCGTGCTCACCACACACAATCGCAACGCCACTTGAAAGTCTTTTTTGTCACCCATGCTTCCTCACATGAGCAGGGGTTCCTCATTTAGCCCTGCAGCTTTAACAATGGGATGGTACGAACTGGACAGTTCCCTGTGTCTCAGGTGAGAGGGGGAGGGGCGGATGCCCCAACTGGAACTCAGCACCCTCTAAAACAAACACACAGAAGCTACAGGACACACTACAGAAAGCAGGGGGTATTAGAGAGCTGTCCAAGAACCCAGCACCAAGGTCATGACAGACCAGAGCAGACCTCCATAAATGGCTTTTATTGAACAAATAAATGAATTGCTTCATCTTCAGCCAGAACCACTGATTTCAACAGGCCCTGCACCGAGCAATCAACTGATAAAAAGAAAAACAAAACAGAGCAGTAGCCCTGACATTCAGGAGCACGGTAAGGCCACGTTACTGTCCTGAGCAATCTCACGAAATAACAAGTTCCTACAGGTTACTCTGAATTCTTGGTGGAATGAGACAAGGGCCATTTGATAATGCTGTGTAAGCACAAACACATGGGTAGTACGTGTAGGCCACTCACAAAATCACCAAATAGCCTTCCTTGCTTAACCAAACTAAGTTGACAGCTAATTCTCTATCGACCAGCTTCATTCTTGTGCCAGTCTCCTCTGCCTGCAGGTAAGATTTATCCAGATATCAGAATTGTTCCTGTTTTCTGACAGCATCTAAAGTGGACACCCACTTCCTGAAACCGTCCCCTGCTCCAGTCACCAACATCCAATCCTATAATTGGTTCCAACATCTTCTTAAAAAAAAAAAAAAAAAAGATTTATTTTATTTGAAAGGCAGAGTTACAGAAAGAGAGAGACAGAGATAGAGACAGAGAGAGAAAGAGATCTTCCATCAACTGGTTTACTCCCCAAATGGCTACCACGGCCAGAGCTGGGCCAGACCAAATCCAGGAGTCAGGAGCTTCTTCCAGGTTCCCCCACTGGGTGCAGGGACCCAAGCAATTGAGCCACCTTCCACTTTCTCCCCAGGCATATCAGCAGGGAGCTGGACTGGAAGTGGAGTGGCCGGGACTCAAACTGGGACCCATATGGGATGCCAGCACTGCAGGCGACAGCTTAATGAGACACCCAAGCTTCCCCAGGAAGTATGTTCATCTTGGCTGTACTAAGTAAGAAACTCAACTTTTTAAATTATTGGTGGGTTCCTGGTGGTCTCTGTGCAGGGCAATGGCATAATAAAAGTGACATGTTACAAGTATCTGCAAGTCCACATGGTTCTCTTTCTGGAAAGTTCTCCCCGTCGCAGTTTGACATGAATACTACTCATTTCTGGGAGCCATCTCTAAGGAAATGAGAAGTAACAAATTCTAGTTCAATACTCAACTCCATTCTACCAATAAACAGACTCACGAACAAAACTTTGTTTTTATGCTACTATGCTTCCTTCTAGACTGCCTGTCTTAGAAAAGTCGGTCTGTCTGACTCACCTAAGTCTGTAGCAGCTTGCAGATGTTAGAGGATTTATTTTTACGAATGGCATTAACATGTTGTTTGTAAACTCATAGTACTTGAACTGGATGCCTCAGAACCGCAGCTCTGAACCCTAAAAAAGCCAAAAACTAAATTGTTTCCCCAAAAACTTTTTAAAAGGAATTCTCTCTCCAAAAGATAATTTTTTCTAGGCCGGCGCCGCGGCTCACTAGGCTAATCCTCCGCCTAGCGGCGCCGGCACACCGGGTTCTAGTCCCGGTCGGGGCGCCGGATTCTGTCCCGGTTGCCCCTCTTCCAGGCCAGCCCTCTGCTGTGGCCAGGGAGTGCAGTGGAGGATGGCCCAGGTGCTTGGGCCCTGCACCCCATGGGAGACCAGGAAAAGCACCTGGCTCCTGGCTCCTGCCATCGGATCAGCGCGGTGCGCCGGCCGCAGCGCGCCGGCCGCGGCGGCCATTGGAGGGTGAACCAACGGCAAAGGAAGACCTTTCTCTCTGTCTCTCTCTCTCACTGTCCACTCTGCCTGTAAAAAAAAAAAAAAAAAAAACAAAAAAAAAAAAAAACAAAAAAACAAAAAAAAAAGATAATTTTTTCTATCTTATATCTTTTAGTTATTACATAGTTCTCATATATACCTCCATACTTCTAAACATACAAAATATGACTAGCATTAAGTTCATGTTTCTTAACTACAAAAGGTTTAGATCTTTCAAGAAAAATATACATATGGTTCATTTTGTAATTTGTCCAATTTCCTTTTCTTTTCACCATCACATCCCCCCAAAAAAACACTTTCTGCCTGTAGCTTCAAAAATATTCCAGAATGTTCTATCCATATCACATGGTACATCTAGAGAGAGCAGAGCCTGGGTTTATTTAACCTGGTCTACATATTGCTTAACAAAACACTTAAAGAGGTTGTTAAAACACCCATCCTGAACTTCTGCCTTTGGCAGGTGAAATCTCTGGACGCAGATCCAAGTTCCCATCTACAAGAGATTTTTGTTTTCTCCTATTTTATTAGAGCACCATGAAGCAGAGTAGAGGGAGACAGCACCATTTATTCATCCTTTGAGGCAAAAATGTAACGGTGTGGTTTAACACATTAAATGCCATATTACAATGTCACAGCTATTTAAGGCGCCTTTGCTCAGTACTGTTTTCATCATTCAACAGCAAAACAGGTTATTACTCCACAAGTAAACATTAAGTTCAACAAATTCCAGCCAACAGGACAGGCACTGTGGCCCAGCAGGTTAAGCCACCACCTGGGAAGCCTGCATCGCCTATGAGAGCCAGCTGGAGTCCTGGCTGCCCCACTTCCGATCCAGCTCCCTGCTAATGGGCCTGGAAAAGCAGTGGAATATGGCCCAAGGGCTTGGGTCCCTGCACCCACATGGGAGATCCTGATGGAGTCCCAGGCTCCTGACCTCAGCCTGGCCTAAGCCGGGCCACTGTGTCCAGCTGGGGAGTGAACGGACAATGGAAGAGCACTGTCTGTCTCTCTCTGTAACTCTGCCTTTCAAATAAATAAATCTTTAAAAAAAAAAAAAAAAAAAACTGAAGTCAACACCCAGAAGGCAGCCACACTCTGCAATACAAGATGACAGACAAGGTGACAGCCGCCAGCGTAAGGGCCCGCCTCTCAGGCGGAGAGTTCGGTGCAGTGAATGGATGAGGGTACAGGGTGCCAGGGACGTCAAGCAGCGCGGGGAGAAGGCATGACTGAGAACATTCCAGAAGGAAACTCCAGCACCCCCCAGACCCGAACCCCGGAAGGTCTGGGCAGCGACAAGGGGGGCTTCCAGCATGGGGGGGTTTCAGTTCTATCAAATTGGGGGGGGGGTGGCTACGAAACATAAACGCTTTCCCCGTGAAACTCGGCAAACCTAAGCTCACCGCCTTCGAATACCCTGCGAGGTCAAAATTCAAAGTAGTAAGAACGATTCCTATCCCGAAACGGTTGGGAGGTGGGTGTGGCCGCCGCAGCCTCTTGAACGTTCCAGGGCCAGAGGTCCGGTCGCGGCACCGCAGGCCATTGTGCCACCGCACCACCGAGCCGCCGGCTCCATCCCGCGCCTCCGAGGGCCTCAGCCAACTCGAACCCCGACGGCTGAGCTCCCGGGCCGCGCACTGCGAACAAAGAGGCGGCCCGGGGCGGCCTCCGACGCCCACGCCGGGCTCACGCAGCGCCCGAGGCGCTCTGCAGCCCTGGGTGCGTGTGCGGGGTCGCGCCCCGGCCGGGGATCTGCGTGGGCGCCCCACAGGGGCCGGCACGCCGCGAGCGCACCGCCTCGCCTATCTCGTCGGCTCACTGCAGACTGGCTGCGCGCGCACGGACACAGCGGGCAGCGGTCGCGGCACGCACCCCCCTCCCCGGAGCCGCGGTCCCGCGCGCTTCCCGCCGCCCAGACGCGGCCTTTACCTGCACATCACTCAGCTCCACGCGCAGATACAGTTCGCGGTGTCGCTGAGCCCAGTAGACGTGCGGAGTCAGCACCTGGTTCTCCATGGCCACACTGCCCAGGGCGCCGCCGGCAGGCTCTGCTCGCTGGACCTCGCTGCCTCACTTAGTGCGTGGCTGGAGCCGGCCGAACGCAGGCCGCAAACCCCCGCGCTCCAGAGCGCCCGCAGCCCGGCAGCCTCGCGACACCCCACGCTCGCGGGCCGCGCCTGCGCAGTGACACGCCGGGGGCAGCCGCGCGAGCCGGGCGTGGGCGGGGCGCGGGCGAGAGAGGGGGCGTGTCCTGGCGCGGTGACGCCGTGCCGCACCGCGCCCGCCTCCGGGATCGCCATCAGCAAGCTCGCGGCGCTTCTTTAGGGCTGCGCTTCGAAATGTCAGAGGCTGGCGACGCATAAACGACCGGTCAGCGTGGATAAGCGCTGGAGACTGGTGTGTCCGGAAGGTGCCTCCTGTCACTCATGACTTGCTCAGCGCCCGCTGCGCGCTCGGGCTAAGCCCGGAGCAACGTCAGGGAGACCCGGCCCCCGCCATCCCGGAGCCCCGTCTGTCCGGAGACCTGAGGGATTCCAGCCACCGGGCGGACCACAGGGGTGACGGGGGCGGGGTGCGGGACTGGAGCGCGCGCGGCCGCAGAGCTGTGTGCGGTGACGGGAGCTCAGCCGCTCTGCACGCTGGCCGGAGAGACCGATGAGCTGGATTCCCTACCTGTTATTTCCGTCCAGTTAATTAGCCTCCAATGACTGGTGGCCATTCTACCGGACAGTGCAAGAGACTGGCTAACTTAAAAGAAATCTCGAACTGAAAACACTAATTTATGTCTTTTTTTTTTTTTTAAGATTTATTTGAAAGGCAGAGTTAGAGAGAGGGGGGTTGAGAGGTCTTCCATCCGCTGCTTCACTCCCAAAACGAGGGCAACGGCCAGGGCTGGACCAGGCCAAAGCCAGGAGCCAGGAACTCCATCCGGGTCTCCCACATGGGTGGCAGAGGGCCAAGCCCTTGTGCTATCGTGCACTGCCTTCCCAGGGGTTTAGTAGGGAGCTGGGTGGGAAGTGGAGCAGCCAGGACTGGAGCCTGCGCCCACAGGGGATGCTGATGTCGCTGGTGGTGGCTGCGGATTCACCCACTGCGCGACAGCACTAATCCGCAAGTTCTTCCACCGTGAAGAGTTTAATGGCAGCAACGTTTCTATGAAAACTAGAAAGTCTGGGACAAAAAGTGGACCTTGGAATTCTCCGTTTCTTTAGCTGAGCACAGGGATCCAGCAATAGACAAGTTATTGGCAGTTGGCAGGAAATTCTTAGCTCAGTGGGTGGATCATGTGGGGAAAAAAAAAAAAAAAAAAACAGAGGGCTTAATATGGTTGAGCTCACAGAGAGGCAGAAAGTTGGAAAGTGCGCGTTGGTCGGAGCCCAGGTAGACCCGTGAGAGCGAGCCCTGGAGAGCTGGACTGTGAACTGAGGAGCGATTGGCAGCAGCGGCTCAGGTAGGGCAGGGGAGCACGGGCACGCGTCCAAAGGTGAGGAGACGTCAAGCTCTGTGAGCAAGGGTACAAGGGCAGAGGCGGGAAGGCGGAGAGGGAGTGAATTGCGAGCGGTCAGCTCCACTGAGGTGTTTCCGCAGTGTTGTGCAAACACGTGGGAAGCAACAAGGCTGGATCAGCTGGACACTGGCGGAATCCAACGGGCTTGGCAAGACCACCGGACACACAGGAGAAATCCAGTCGGAGGCCGCTGGGATGAATCTTCCAGGAACCTCAGCAGGCTTGAATTGAAAAATAACATTTTTTAAAGGATGAGAGCATTTTTATTGCATTGGATTTATTACAATGGCACAGATGCCCCAGGACCCTTTCTTCTATATTTTGTTTCCAGGGAGTGCATTGGCAGTGAGCCCAAGTAGACAGAGAAACGTCTTCCTTTAGACCAGGAGAAGCACCTGGCTCCTGCCATCAGATCAGCGCGGTGCGCCGGCCGCGGCGGCCATTGGAGGGTGAACCAACGGCAAAAGGAAGACCTTTCTCTCTGTCTCTCTCTCTCACTGTCCACTCTGCCTGTCAAAAAAAAAAAAAAAAAGTGCTGGCTGGAGTGCCACGGCTCCACTTCTAATCCAGCTCCCTGCTGATGGGACTGGGAAGGCAGGGGTTTCAGTCTGGCACAGACCCAGTTGTTGGGGGGCCTTTGAGGAATGAACCAAATAAATTATAAATAAATAAATAAATTTTTTTAAAAAACATATAAGAAAGGGCAAGTCCAGTGTTCAGCTTAGGATGACTTCTTACATGCACTTACACTTCGATCGCTACCTGGATTGAAATCTGGAACACTCAGCAACATCAAGAGACCACTCTGTGTCAGTGTCAATAATTACTGTCCTGACATGTCACCACAGAAGAGGTATGCTTGTCCTTGAATTTCATATAAATGGCATCTACAATATTCACACTTTTTGTCTGTCATTAATTTTTTAAAAGATTGATTAGGGGAGAGGCAGAGAGAGATCTGTCTGCTGCTTTGCTCTCCAGATGGCTGCAACAGCCAGGGAAGCCAGGAGCCTAGAACTCCATCTGGGTCTCCCATGTGGGTGGCAGGAGCCCCAGCACCTGGGCCATCTTCCACTGCTTCCCCAGACTGTTAGCAGGGAGCTGGGTTGGAAGCAGCGCAGCCAGGACTTGAACTGGCGCTCATATGGTATGCTTGCACCACAGGCTGCAGCTTAACCCGCTGTACCACACCAGCCCCTGTTTAATTATTTGAAAGAGAGAAAAGGATCTCTCCTGAAGCCAAAAACTCCACCCTGCTCCGCCCACATCCATGAAAAGGGCCCAGGTACTTGGGCCATCCTCAGCTGCTTTCCCAGGCTCATTAGCAGGGAGCTGGATGTGATGGGATGCCATTGTCACAAGCAGCAACTTAACCCACTGCATCACAATGCCAGCCTCCCTGTCTGCTTGCATTCAACAGAATGTGTTTAAGATTAATCCAGGTTGGCGTGTGAATCAGTCATTCATTCTTTTTATGTTGGGGCTGAGTAGTAGGTCATTATATAAGTGTACCATAATTTTTTATCCATTCTCTGATTGATAGATACATGTATTGTTTCCAATTTTTAGCTGTTGCAAATAAGCCTGCTGAGAACATATATGTATCTGTCATTTGGTGGATGTATGTACTTAATTCTCTTGGGTAAATATCTAGGACTGGAATTGCCACATCATAGAGTAGGTGTATGTTTATTTAGCATTAGTAGATCCTGCTAAGGCGTTTTACAAAATGTCTCAATCAATTTACACTCCCACCAGCAATTTTTCAAAGTTCTGGTTGCTTTGGGTAGGTGTTTGGCACAGCAGTTAAGATACTGCTTTGGACACCCACTTCCTGTCATTCCCTGGGAGGCAGTAGATGATGGCTTAAGTACTTGGGTCCCTGCCATCCACATGGGAGACCATGATGGAGTTCTTAGCCCAGCCCTGGATATTGTGGGCATTTGGGGAGTGAACCAGCAGATGGAAGATCTGTGTCTCTTTGCCTCTCAAGTAAAAATAAATAAATAAAAAATTCTTAAAGTTCTAGTTGCTCTATGTTGGTATTTTTATTCTATTTCACTTGAGCCATTTTGGTGAGTGTATAATGAAATATAAACCGGTTTTTTCAGCATATTTGGAACCTGAGGCTTATTATCCGACCTCTATTCCAGGTGAGAGTGATTGGTACACAAGGTGACTATTTGCCTCCGGTGCTCCATAACCCACGTCTGGCAGCAAGCAGCCTGCCTGGCCTTTTCCACCCCTAACAAGGTACAGTCAGGTGGATTCTCTGTGGCCTGTGTCTCAGTTCCCTCCAGCATTCTTATGAGCTGTTTCTGCATTTTCCTGCGCAGAGGCTCAGCTGTTGTGGACTCCCCTCTCAAGGGAAATCCACTAAGAACAGAATTGCAGTGGAGGGGGAAAGGATATCTTTCAGCTGAGCCGCGAGCTCAGCGTGCAGGAGGAACAGGCCAGGGCCGAGTGCGGGGCCAAGCTGAAGGGGCAGGGCTGAGAGCTCTCTGATAACACCAGGAAATGGAAGTGCACATCGGGCACCCGCCTCCTGGCTGCAGCTGTCCCAGCTCCACTGGCCCACCTCTCCCTTCTCAGAGGACGATCCAGGCACCCATAGGGAGCACGTGCCCCATGTTTGCCATGCATGAAGCCTGTGCCCAGTGCCTCAGCCTCGTTTCCTGCCATTGGCAAGGGATCACACACATCCTTGTTGTTCACCTTTTTAAAAATAATGTGAAGGGGCAGGCATTCGCCACAGTGGTTAAGACGTCCTTTGGGATGCCCCCATCCTGTATCAGAGTGCCTGGGTTTGAGTCCCGCCTCTGCTACTTTTTTTTTCTTTAGTTTTTAATTTTTTAAAAAAAGGATTTATTTGTTTATTTGAGAGGCAGAGTTACAGACAGAGAGAGAGAGGTCTTCCATCCACTGGTTCACTCCCCAAATGGCCACAACAGCTGGAGCTGGGCTGATCTGAAGCCAAGAACTTCTTCCAGGTCTCCCACATGGGTGGCAGGGGCCCAAGGACATTAGCAGGGAGCTGGATCAGAAGTGGAGCAGCCGGGTCTCGAACCAGCACACAGAGGATGCCGATGCCACAAATGGTGGCTTTACCCCCGCTTTACCATAGCGTCGGCCCCTACTTTTTACTTTTTTTACCATGATTTGTTTACTTATTTGAAATTCAGATTTAGAAAGAGAGCGATCTTCAATCTGCTGGCTCACTCCTGAGTTGGACCAGGCCAAAGACAGGAACCTGGAACTCCATACTGATCTCTCACGCTGGTGACAAGGCCCACAGACTTGGGCCATCCTCCGCTGCCTTCCCAGGTGCATTAGCAGGGAGCTAGATCAAAAATGGAGCAGCCAGGTCTGGACAGCCAGGTCTGTGTGCTCTGACACAGTGTTGCAGGTGGCAGTTCAACCCACTGGGCCCCAACTCCACCTGCATTGCTCTGCTTTTGCCTTTTTTTTTTTTTTTTTTTTTGGACAGGCAGAGTTAGTGAGAGACAGAGACAGAGAGAAAGGTCTTCCTTCCGTTGGTTCACCCCCCAAATGGCCGCTACATCCAGCACACCGCGCCAATCTGAAGCCAGGAGCCAGGTGCTTCCTCCTGGTCTCCCATGTGGGTGCAGGGCCCAAGCATTTGGGCCATCCACCACTGCCTTCCCGGGCCACAGCAGAGAGCTGGACTGGAGGAGGAGCAACCGAGACAGAATCTGGCGCCCTGACCAGGACTAGAACCCCAGGGGCTGGCGCTGCAGGCAGAGGATTAGCCTAGTGAGCTGCTGTGGTTTGCTCTGCTTTCAATGTCTGTTAATGCATACTCTGGGAAGCAGCATGTGACGGCTCAAGAACCTGGGTCCCTGCCACCCGGAAGACCAAATGGAGTTCCTAGCTTAGGCCTGACCCAGTCCCAGATATTGTAGACATTTGGGGAATGAAACATTAGATGAAAGATGGTGTGCATGTGTGTCACTCTCCCTCTCAAATAAACAAATGTTGATAAAATCAGTTACATCTGAAAAGATCCTGTTTGCAAATACATCACATTATAGTGTTCAGGGCAGACATGAATTTGGAGCCCACTACAAGGGGATCAAGCACATTTTCAGGGATACTGCTATGGACCAGGAAATGGCTGTCATCCTCTCCCACAGGAGAATCCTGATTGAGTGTCTGGGTTTTCCTGGAATTGACCAAGGTTACACTCTCACTAGCAGGGGAAACAGATCATAAACAAGTTGGGCTGAGCTATAGAACAGCTGAGAACATTAAATGCATGTCTACGTCCGCTGTGGTTTGAACAAGATTTGGCTCCCCAACTCCCACAGATGTTTGAACACCAAAGTCTTATGTTAATGATTGATGGCTGGGGTGGAGACTTGATGCTACTGTGCTGCCTGGGACCTGGGCCTGGTGGGAGGTCTTTAGGTCAGTGGGGCGTGCCCTCAGAAGGTGGCTCTTGTGAAAGGCTTGCTTACAAAGGCGGAGCTGGGCCTCATGGGTCTCTGTGCTTCTGCCCACCACATGATGCTCTGTGAACCCCCAAAACCATAAACTGAAATGAACTGCCTTCCTTCTCAAGAAACTCCTCTCAGGTACTGTGGAAATGAAAAACTGACAAAAAAAAAAAAAAAAAAAAAAAAAAAAAAAAACACACCAGGGTCCGCGCTGTGGCACAACGGGTAAAACTGCTGCCTGCAATGCGTGCATCCCATGTGGGTGTCAGGTGTCAGTTCTTAGCCCAGCTGCTCCATTTCCAGTAGAGCTCCTTGCTATGGCCTGGGAAAAGCAGCTGGAGAGGTCCCAAATGCTTGGGCCCCTGCCATCTACATGGGAGATCCTGGCTCAGCCCTGGCCATTGCAGCCCTCTGGGGAATGAAACAGCAGATGGAAGATCTCTCGCGCGCTCTCTGTAACTCTGACTTTCAAGTAAATAAGTAAGTCTTAAAAAAAAAAAAAAAAGCTGACTAATAGAGCATCTGTATGTAGCTGGAAAATATTGTCCTGTTCCGAATGTAAAATCTGGATATAAGGCAAAAAAGCTATGGTAAGATGCTGAGATTATTGTTAGGGTTTTTTTGTTTGTTTGTTTGTTTGGTTGTTTTTTTGTTTTTTGATAGGCAGAGTAGACAGTGAGAGAGAGAGAGAGAGAGAGACAGAGAGAAAGAGAGAAAGGTATTCCTTTTTCCGTTGGTTCACCCCCCAATGGCCGCTGCGGCCGGCGCACCGCGCTGATCCAAAGCCAGGAGCCAGGTGCTTCTCCTGGTCTCCCATGCGGGTGCAGGGCCCAAGGACCCAGGCCATCCTCCACTGTACTCCCAGGCCACATCAGAGAGCTGGACTGGAAGAGGAGCAACCCGGACAGACTCCAGTGCCCCGACCGGGACTAGAAACTGGTGTGCCAGCGCCACAGGCGGAGGATTAGCCTAGTGAGCCGCAGCACCGGCCTATTGTTAGGGTTTTTTGAAGACTGATTTATTTATTTGAAAGAGTCAGAATGAAGCAGAGAGAAATCTTCCTTCCATTGTTTCACTCCCCAATTGACACAGCAGGCCAAAGCCAGGAGCCTGGAACTCCATCCAACTCTCCCACACGGGTGGCAGGGGCCTAGACACTTGGGCCATCTCCTGCTGCTTCCCCAGGCACATTAGCAGGGAGCTCGAAATTAAACAGAGCAGCCAGGACTTGAACTGGTGCTTATATGGGATCTTGGCATTGGCAGCAGCAGCTTAACCCGCTACGCCACAACACCAGCCCCTAGATCTTTCTTTAATGATGTCAGAGAGTTATGTTCGGACTAAACTTAAGCTGACTGGTGCTTATATCCCAGAGGGCGGGCACTTGGTGTAGTGGTTGGGACACTGCGTCTGGGTTCCAATCCCAGCCTCCTGCTAATGCAGACTTTCAGAGGCAGCAGGTAATGGATTCATAGTTGAGTCCCTGCCATCCACGTGGGAGACCTGGACTGAATTCCTGGCTCTAGGCTGCAGCCTGGCCCAGTCTGGGTTGTGGTAGGCGTTTGGGAGTGAAGTAGTAAACAGAAAATCAATCTCGCGCTCATCCTTGCTCTCTCTCTGCCTTTAATTAAAAAAAGAAAGAAAAGCTTACCTGCTCTGCAGCACGGTGAGGGGACAGAAAGCATCAGAAACCAGAGGAGAGGAGAAGCCGGCCCCTGGCAGCCTCCCAGGAGATGCCTTGCGAGTTTCCTGAGCCTCCTGGGTTCTCCTGCTCTGGGGAGATCCCAAAGCACGCTACCAAGGCCCAGAAAAGCTTTGGTTTGCCCATGTGGCTGGGAGTTTAAGTGGACAGTTTCAGGGCGAGCTGGGAGACAAGTTCCCCAACAGTAGGGGTGCAGGCTGCCCCCCCACAAGATCATGTGGCCTGGCCCAAGGCAGCCACAGGCAAAACTCGAAGTTCAGTAGGCCGATTTTTACATTAATAGTTTTGAGTAAGAAGAAACCAAGAAATCTGAATTTAAATTTATGCTGATCCACAATTAGCTACATGGGATAAGCAGGGTTTTTGTTTGTTTGTTTTGCCTCTTGGGGGGTCTTTAATTTTAGAAAAAGACTTATTATTTCTTTTTTTTATATATATATATATTTTGACAGGTAGAGTGGACAGTGAGAGAGAGAGAGAGAAAGGTCTTCCTTTGCCGTTGGTTCACCCTCCAGTGGCCGCTGCGGCCGGCGCACCGCGCTGATCCGATGGCAGGAGCCAGGAGCCAGGTGCTTTTCCTGGTCTCCCATGGGGTGCAGGGCCCAAGCACCTGGGCCATCCTCCACTGCACTCCCGGGCCACAGCAGAGAGCTGGCCCGGAAGAGGGGCGACTGGGGCAGAATCGGTGCCCCGACAGGGACTAGAACCCGGTATGCCGGCGCCGCAAGGCGGAGGATTAGCCTATTGAGCCACGGCGCCGGCTCCAAGACTTATTATTTCAAAAGGCAAAGTTGGGGGGGGTGGAGGAGGAGACAAACCTTCCCTACATGTCCCAAAAGGCTGCAACAGCTGGGACTGGGTCAGGCGAAGCCAGGAGTCAGGAACTCCATCCAGGTGTCAGACAAGGGTACTAGGGGCCCAAGCCCTTGAGCCATCTTCTGCTGCCTTCCAAGGAGCATTAGCAGGGAGCTGGATCTGAAACAGCAGCTGGGACTGGGGATAGGGACCTCACAGGTAGCAGCTTAACTGGCTGAGCCACAAAGCCAGTCCCCAGGGCTCTTCATTTTTAACCCATGAAATCACATATTCTTCTTTGCCTCCTTTTCAGGGGAAGGAGGTTCCATGTCTTCTTATTAGGATGTAAGCTGTGCAACAGCTGAGATCCTGTCCATTCTGTTCACTGTTGTATCCCCAGTGCTTAGGGAACGGTGAGAGCGCATGGCAGAGCTTCAGTAAATGACATGACATGCAAGATGGTGCATTGCCCTTTGTTCAAGTGTGTGCATTTAAAGTCTGAAAACCTGCTCCTGAAGACAACCAGAGAAAATGACTACCTTTTTTTTCAAACGTAACTGGACTTTAGAGAGCCGGAGGGCAGGCTCATCTAACCTTAGAGTGCATAATTACATGCTGTGGGGTGGAACGCGGTACCTCAGTGGGTCTTTTATTAGTGCCATTACAATAAATCTTAATGAGTCTGTTAGCAACAGAGCGTGGGGAAGCGCGGTTTTGCCACTGTTTGGATCCAGCCGCTACTTGCCCCGTCATTTCTCTGGGTTCCTCGTCTCTCTCTCAGCCAGCCTGGGACCTGCCGCTGACTCCTCTCCCCTGGGCACCAGTTCCTTCATTTTTAATGTGATCCCATGACACGGCAATTAAGCGACACGTTGCATCCCTTCAGCCATGGCTCAGTGAGGCCGAGTGGGCTGCCTCAGATCACGAATTAACCTCGGAGCCAAGCTTCTGACTCCAAGGTCTCCCGACGCGACTGCGGGACGCTCTGCTCTCCAACCAAGGTCCTTCCCTCCCTCCGTCGCCTCCAAAGAAGGGCTTCGCTCCCTGCTCTAATCCCAGCGTCCACAACTGTACCCGCCACATGGACAGCGATTTTATCCACTTCCAGCGGACACGCAATATACACGCGTTATCTACTGAGTGAAAGGAATGGGACTCGGAGCCAGCGAGCGGCTGCTGCTCTGCGGACCGCGCCTCCTTCGCTCCTCCGGCCACCAGGAGGCGCTGTGGCGAAGGACACCGCCCAGCAGGGAGGGGCGCCTTTCTTGGCCCGGCGGCGCCTTTCGCAAGGAACCGGAAGTGCCTGAGCCGCGGAGGCCGCCGCCGCTGCCGCCGCCGCCTCTAAGTGCCGCGTTCGCCGCTTGGGTTGCCACCGGCACCGCCGCCGAGGAAGCCGCTGCAGCCGAGTCGGGAGTGGAGGCGGCGCGGCATGAAGCGGCACAGGCCCGCTCCGTAGCGCGCGCGTCGGCACGGTCCGGGCGGGGCCGGGGGGAAGGTGCAGTATCCGCCCGTGTTTTACTCCCCTGCGGCCGCGAGGCCTGGGCCCCACAGCCCGCGGGCCCTCCCCGCCTCTCGGAGGAAGCGCCCGGCCAGCCCGCTCTGCGGTGGACCCGGCGCGGGGCCGAGCCGGTGGCGGGGCCCCGCTTGCCGGAAGAGGAAGCCGAGGCTCTGAGATTCCGAGTCTGCCAAGGTCCGCAGGGCGCCCCCTGAGCGCCGAGTGCTGGCCTCCGAGTCCGTTATCTTGCCTGAGCCTCGCCGGGGTGGGGAGGCCGGGGGTTGTCCGGGCTGACAGGCGAGGAAACGGAAGCCCACAGAGGCGCAGGGATTTGTCTGAAGTCCGACTGCGGCAGATGGGATTCCGGCTCCCAGCTGGCGTCCTTTGCCTCCCGCCGGGCCGAGCCCCTGGCTGCTCGCCCACTCCCTCCGGTCCAGCCTCGCGCTTGTATCCTGAGCCTGGGCACCTCTCCAGCCCCCTCTCCGGCCCGCTCGGCTACGCCTCTACCCGTCCCCGTGCGTAGCTTTCGGGGTCTTGGCCCTCTCGGAGATCACGAACTTCTCAGCTCGGAGAGCTTGCGGTGTCCAAGGGGACTCCTGGCCCCTGGGTTAAACACTCTGGAGGCCACGGGAGTGGGTCCAGACTCGAGTCCTCCGGCCGCCTGCTGGCCCCAGTCTGCCCTTGGAGTGAGGGGCTCGGTGTGTGGGGCAGGTGTTGCTGTGCCCCCGTGACCCCGCCCCATGCCACCTGGTTTTTCTTTCTCCATCACCCACTTGGGCTGTGGGAACCTAGAATTAAAACTGATGACAAAGAAACAAGTGTAATCACAGATGTTCTTTTATTTTTCTCTCTTGCGAAGCTAAAACTTCAGTACGCTTAACGCTTGTAATATTCCCGAAAAGTTAACTTATTTCAGTTATTCTGAATAACCTGCCGAGGGAGGAAGCAAAAATGGGATGCACGTTAAGTGACTAGCACTTTTTTATCTTATGAAGACTGATAAGCTATTAAATTCAGCTTAGTTCCCTTTCTGCAGAAATGGCCTGTTCCATAATTCTTGGTTATTGTACTGAGGTGGTTCTGTCTCCAGCCAGTTCGATCTGATGTTATTTAAAATAGGAATAGACACAGAAAATAAATGTTGTAAATCACCTGGCATTTCTGAGGGTTTGCAATAGCCAGTGAGTAGCCTCACTTCTGTGTGCCTTTTATTATGTGTTAAAGCCCTCCCATAATTTTCCTTTTCTTTTTTCTTGTGTCTGGACATCAAGGTTTATGCTATTGTTAGGATAGTCTTTTGAGTCAGTTGGGGATTTTGATAATACAAAATGCAGATACTGTAGTTTAGACATTACATCTTACATCAAAAAACTGATTATTTCTGCGTCTGATTTAAGTATCATTTTGAGACTTCTCTTTAATCTTTTTGGCCACATATTGTCCATTTTAATGATGATGAGCAGTCTTGTATCTTGTTTCATTGTCCTGAGTGGAGGGATCTTTGCTTGAAGTTGAGTCACTTGGATAAGATCTCCTTGCATGTGGGAGAGATCTAAACAGAGCAAGTACAGTAGGTGGGCACAGGGAGGGTCCCTAAGTGAAGAGGTAGGTGGGACAGTGAAACGCATGCCTGGGGCTGAGAACGGGCACTTAGCCTATTGTATTTTAGAAAATGCAAGTCACAGCTTTTGAGAATGTATTTGGATATAAGGTGTTAAGAAATTCTAGAAAGTGTTTAGTGAAACATTTGTCAAAATCCATTAACATAGTATCAGATCTGTCCTACAAAAGGCCAGACATGATTGAAACAGAATGGCAGTGTGACTTGAACATGGAGAGTGTGTGTGTAGAGAGACTGACCCTGGTGGAATCCCGGAAGACCAGGTATTTACTTACAGGTAGGCTGTCGGTGCTTTTACATAGTGGAGATGTGAAGTGAGTGTGACTCAAGGAGCTGGGTGGTGAGGCCTGAAGATGCTTCTGCTGTGTCCCTGATCTTTTTCCTTAGTCCTTTCCTTGCAAAAAAAAAAAAAGAATGTGGAGATGAAGTTCCAAACTTTACACAAGGAAAGTTGTGTGATTATTAATTGTCCCTTGCTCTGTTGGGTATAAAACTAGGCCCACTGACATACTTGATGGAAAGTCGGCCTCTGCTGGCTTTAAGTAGGTCAGCAACCACCCCGTCACATACAAGTATGTGCGGATTTCAACATTCTTTTTTTTTTTCTTTTCTTTCTTTTTTTTTTTTTTTTTTTTTTTTTTTTGACAGGCAGAGTGGACAGAGAGAGAGACAGAGAGAAAGGTCTTCCTTTGCCTTTGGTTCACCCTCCAATGGCCGCCGCGGTCGGCGCGCTGCGGCCGGCGCACCGCGCTGATCCGATGGCAGGAGCCAGGAGCCAGGTGCTTTTCCTGGTCTCCCATGGGGTGCAGGGCCCAAGCACCTGGGCCATCCTCCACTGCACTCCCTGGCCACAGCAGAGGGCTGGCCTGGAAGAGGGGCAACCGGGACAGAATCCGGCGCCCCGACCGGGACTAGAACCCGGTGTGCCGGCGCTGCTAGGCGGAGGATTAGCCTAGTGAGCCGCGGTGCTGGCCGATTTCAACATTCTGTGCACCAAAATAAACGTCTTTTAATTCCATTTTCCATGAGCTTTTGGAGGTGTCCTTGTCCTGGTGTGGAATGTCAGTGTGCCAAATACCAGTTAGCAGGTAACCTAATTCTTTACCAAGTTGTGCCAGATTTTGACCCCTGGAAGTGAATGTCCATTGTAACGCTATTGTGCACTACCTGTTGTACTGTCTAGTGGGTTTTCTGACCACTTTGGCTACTAGAAGATTGAAAGTGATAGTGTAGCTCACTGTAGCATGTAAAAGACACAGTAACCCGGGCTCCCGGGTCAGCTCATTTCCCTGCCATTGATGTACTCGTGGGAAACTTGAATCACAAACCTACCCCTACTAACTTCCCCTGTGGTAGTTACCTCTTACCACGAATTCTTGTTAATTACAAAATTAAGTTTAAACACAACATGTTAAGTGTGAAATTTGGTCACATAGATGCAATTTAGTTTGTGTTCTACTGAACTAAGAATTCCTATTAGATATTAGCAAGCCCTGATTTGGGATTGAACTGGTAAATTGAGTTCAAATTTTTATCAAAATAAATACAAACATTGAATTTTTGCATCTACAACTTATTAAAGCCATTTAAGGATAGCATCTTGTTTTCTGTCATTGGTATAATTATATAATCAGAATTGTATTATCAGTCATGTAAGTTTCTTCAAAATGTAGATATCAAAATATAGTAATATCTAGACTAGAGCAAGAGACTCAGAAACAGCAGGCAGTGAAGTGTTTTGATTTTTGGAGTTCCATTTAAAAGGAAACAATATATTTTCTTGGGTATGCCCTAGGAAAGTTATTACAAGCACATTGTTTGAAACAATTCTGTTACTGTTCTAATTGGTCATGATTATTTCTGCTAGCTGAAGAACTGCACAGTTATCAAATGTGTTACTTTTTTAAATGCAAGAACACTTAACTCTCTTGGCACATTGAGATTCACTATTGACATGCTCTTGGGTGGAGCGTAGCAGCCAACTGGCATATGGCCTGTTTCCTTCCAGTGTGGGAAAGAAAAAAGGAATTTTGGCAAGAGATACCTAGGGAGAGTTTTTTTATAAAAGTTCCCAAAGGGATTTACAGTCACTGTGAAATAGAAATGACCCCAATTTTTTTTTAATCTCGTTTTGAAACTGAACACAGAGAAGGGGGAGCTATTGCTTTTCTTACTAAAACCTAGAAACCCATTGCAGCTGTGCTAAAACACATTTTTTTCTTTTCTTTCTAGGGGAGGGCCGTAGGCTGTCAATCTGTTCATATAAGAAAAGACAGGCCTGTGAATAGCTCCATGTGCCTTGTTTTTCTAGGAAAATGCAACATGGCAGCAGCAATGGAAACAGAACAGCTGGGTGTTGAGATATTTGAAACTGCGGAGTGTGAGGAGAATACGGAATCACAGGACCGGCCTGAATTGGAGCCATTTTACGTTGAACGATATTCCTGGAGTCAGCTGAAAAAGCTGCTTGCTGATACTAGAAAATATCATGGCTACATGATGGCTAAGGCTCCGCACGATTTCATGTTTGTGAAGAGGAATGACCCAGATGGGCCTCACTCAGACAGAATCTATTACCTTGGTGAGTATGAAGTTACGGTTTCCCCGAGGAAATGTTTCATGTCAAATTTAAAGGCCAGAAAAAATTTGCATTCAGTTTTTCACTGCCATTACAAGGGGGGGAAACCCGAATTGGAAGGAATTCAATTTTTCTATTTTAATTTCGGCTTGGCTCATTGACTTTATTTTTACTTACAGATAGAAAATCATGATCATGATCTTTCTTTCAGAGTCACAGTTACAGATCCAGGAATTGCTTTTTCCTAAAGTTCATTTGAAATGCCTTTCCTTAGGAATGATCAGGTTACAGTGGAACCATGAATTTGTTCCCACTCTCAACAGCTGCTCTTTTTTTTTTTTTTTTTTTTAAAGGACTGATTTATTTATTTGAAAGGCAGAACAACAGAGAGAGGGAGACACACACAGAACTTTGGTCCACTGGTTCACTCCCCAAATAGCCTCAACAGCCAGGTCTGGAACAGACTGAAGCTGGGAGCCAAGAACTCCATCCTGGTCTCCCACATGGGTGACAGGGGCCCAAGTTGTTGGGGTATCTTCCACTGCCTTCCCAGACACGTTAGTAGGAAGCTGGATCCAAAGCTGAGTAGCTGGGACTTGCACTTGCACTCTGATATGGGATACCAGGGTCCCAAGTGGTAACTTAACCACTGGGCCATAATGCTGGCCCCAGCTTTCATTTTTTTTAAAAAAGATTTATTGGCCGGCACCGTGGCTCACTAGGCTAATCCTCTGCCTTGCGGTGCCGGCATACCGGGTTCTAGTCCCGGTCGGGGCGCCGGATTCTGTCCCGGTTGCCCCTCTTCCAGGCCAGCTCTCTGCTGTGGCCAGGGAGTACACTGGAGGATGGCCCAAGTCGTTGGGCCCTGCACCCCATGGGAGACCAGGATAAGTACCTGGCTCCTGCCTTCGGATCAGCGTGGTGCACCGGCCGCAGCGCGCCGACCGCGGCGGCCATTGGAGGGTGAACCAACAGCAAAAGGAAGACCTTTCTCTCTGTCTCTCTCTCACTGTCCACTCTGCCTGTCAGGAGACTAAGATTATTATCACAAGGCACCCCAAGATTGATTTATTTATTTATTTGAAAGGCAGAGTTATAGAAAGGCAGAGCAGAGAGAGAGAGAGAAGTCTTCTATGCTGGTTCACTCCCCAAATGACTGCAGTGGCCGGAGCAGAGCCTATCGAAGCCAGGAGCCAAGAGCTGCTTCTGGGTCTCCCTCATGGGTACAGGAGCCCAACGATTTGGGAAATCTGTAACTGCTTTCCCAGGCCATAGCAGAGAGCTGCATCGGAAGTGGAGCAGCCGGGACTTGAACCAGCACCTATATGGGATGCCGGCACTGCAGGCGGTGGCTTTACCCACTATGCCACAGTGCCAGCCCCTTTCATTTTTTTTTTTTTTTTAAACAACAGCTGATTTGAGCTCTTCTATCTGAGACCATTTGTTCCAGACTTAAGGTCTGTTTAATTAAATATAATAATGTGCTGGTTTACTTTTTTCTTTATTTTAAGAATAATTTCTTCTCCAAAGCTATTTCCAGTATGTTCCATTCATTAATAGCGTGTGTGTCTGTGGGGATCAACTGAGACTAGACTAAATTACTGGAACTAGGACTAATTCTATGCATCTGCTCTCCCACAATATGGCGCTGGGGAGGAGCAAACAACTACGCAGCTGCCTCATCAGTTTGATAAGCTGCAGGAGCTGATCCTGCTCCTGATTGGAGGAGAGCAGCGTGCTCGGCGTGTGGGTAGCAGAGTTGGGATTGGTGGAAGAGGACTATAAAGGAGGAGAGAGACAACATGCACCGGGAACATCTGAAGGAACACCTGAGCAGCCCCTGAGAGAGCCAGCCGGCAGTGTGCCGCTCCTCCGCGGAAGCGGGGAAAGTGGCAGGGGGGGTACCGCCCCTCCACGGAGGTGGAGGGGTGGGCAGCCAACCCGGGAAGGACCAGCAGCAAACCCGGGAAGGGCTGAGCAGACGAAAAAGCGCAGGGTCCTGTGTTGTTCCTCCGGGAATGGGGGAGCGACATGTGTCCCCTTTTTTTTTTTTTTTTTTTTAAGATTTTATTTATTTTATTTGAGAGGTAGGGTTATAGACAGTGAGAGGGAGAGACAGAGAGATAGGTCTTCCTTCCATTGGTTCACTCCCAAGATGGCCACAATGGCCAGAGCTGCGCTGATCCTAAGCCAGGAGCCAGGAGCTTCTTCCTAGTCTCCCAAGCAGGTGCAGGGACCCAAGCACTTGGGCCATCCTCCACTGTTTTCCCAGGCCATAGCAGAGAGCTGGATTGGAAGAGGGGCAGCTGGGACATGAACTGGTGCCCATATGAGATGCTGGCAAAGCAGGTGGAGGATTAACCTACTGCGCCATGGCTCCGGCCCCTCCTTTTTTTTTTTTTAATGTGCATTCTTACCACTTTTCAGCATAGTTTTTTTTTTTTTTTTTAAGATTTTATTTATTTATTCAAAAGGTAGTTAACAGAGAGAGAAAGAGAAAGAAGGAAGAAGAGACAGAGAGAGATCTTCCATCCACTGGTTCACTCCCCAAATGGCTGGGCTGACCTGAAGCCAGGAGCTTCTTCGGGGTTTCCCACATAGGTGCAAGGAACCACGGACTTGGGCCATCTTCTGCTGCTTTCCCAGGCCACTAGAAGGAGCTGGCTCAGAAGTGGAGCAGCAGGGACTTGAGCCGGTGCCCATGGGATGCTGGCACTTCAGACAGCAGCTTTACCTGCTATGCCACAGCACCGACCCACATGTCTTTTACAGATAGAATCTGCATCATAATTATAGGCATCATTTTTTAAGAACTTCAGAGTATTCCTATATATAATTCTATAATGTAATTTTTTTCTTAATCAGTTCTCTGATAATGAGCATTTAGATTTTTCTCATCTATTATGAAAGAGGAGGCATCACTTAACGTCACTTAACGTGACATACTTGCAGAACTAATTCAATAGAGTAGAATTGCTGGGGCAAAAGGAGTATATTTTCTGAATGTTCACTTAGATAGCTGAATTCTCCCTCAAAGGGTACAGGAGTCATATTACCATGAACACTGTCCCAAAGCTGCTTCTCTTCTCTACCAGTTGTGATGAGGAGTCACACTTTTGATCTCTCTCAATCTGGTTAGCGAAAAGCAGACTCTCATTGTAGTTTTAATTTTAGTTCTTTTATTTGTTTGAGCATCTTTTTTGCATTTTTAAAAGCCATTTATATTCCTTTTTATAAGTCTCTATCTTTTTGGAGGGAATTGGAGGGTTTTTTAAAGATTTATTTAATTATTTTTTAGATTTTTATTTATTTATTTATTTTTAAGATTTATTTGACAGGTAGAGTTATAGACAGTGAGAGAGAGAGAGAGAGACAGAGAGAAAGGTCTTCCCTCCATTGGGTCACTCCCCAAATGGCCGCAAGGGCCGGCGCTGTGCCGATCCGAAACCAGGAGCCAGGTGCTTCTTCCTGGTCTCCCATGCGGGTTCAGGGCCCAAGTACCTGGGCCATCCTCTCCTGCCCTCCCGGGCCACAGCAGAGAGCTGGACTGGAAGAAGAGCAACCGGGACTAGAACCCAGTGCCCACATGGGTTGCCGGTGCCACAGGTGGAGGATTGACCAAGTGAGCCACAGCGCCAGCCCTAAAATTTTATTTATTTATTTGAAAGACAGAGCTACAGACAGGGAGAGGTAGAGACAGAGAGAAAGGTCTTCCATCTGCTGGTTCACTCCCCAGGTGGCTGCAATGGCTGGAGCTGAGCCTACCCAAAACCAGGAGCCAGGAGCTTCTTCCAGGTCTCCCATGTGAGTGCAGGGGCCTAAGCACTTGGGCCATCTTCTGCTGATTCCCCAGGCCATAGTCAGAGAGCTGAATTGGAACAGGAGCCAGTGGGACATGAACCGATTGGGATGGCATATACCAGTACCACAGGCGGAGGCTTAGCCTACTACACCACAGCGCTGGCCCCAAGATTGATTTTTTAAATTTATTTGAAAGTCAGAGGTAGAGGGTGGGGTGGGGGTGATTTTACATCTGCTGGCTCACTCCCCAAATGGTTGCAACAGCCAGGGCTGGGCCAGGCTGAAGCCAGGAGGCAGGAATTAGGATCCTCATCTGGGTCTCCCATGTGGGTGCAGGGGCCCAAATACTTGGGCCATCTTTTGCTGCTTTTCCTGACACATTAGCAGGGAGCTGGATTGGAAGTGGAACAGCCAGGACTTGAACCAGTGCCCATCTGGGTTGCTGGAGTGACATGCTGAGGCTTAACCTGCTACACTACAACACTGGTCCTAAAAGAGGTGTTTTTTTTGTTTTTTTGTTTTTTTGTTTTTGTTTTTTTAGATTTATTTTATGGGGCAGGTGCCGTGGCACAGTAGGTTAATCCTCCACCTGCAGCACCAGCATCCCATATGGGCGCCAGTTCTAGTCCCAGCTGTTCCTCTTCCAATCTAGCTCTCTGCTATCGCCTGGGAAAGCAGTAGAAGATGGCTCAAGTCCTTGGGCCCCTGCACCTGCATAGGAGACCAGAAGAAGTACCTGGCTCTTGGCTTCAGATCAGCACAGCTCTGGCCGTTGCGGCCATTTGAGAAGTGAACCAACGGATGGAAGACCTTTTTCTCTGTCTCTCCCTATCACCGTCTGTAACTTTACCTCTCAAATAAATAAATAAAATCTTTAAAAAAAAGATTTATTTTATTATTTGAAAGGCATAGTTACACAGAGAGGAGAGACAGAGAGAGATCTTCTGTTCACTGGTTCACTCCTCAGTTGTCCACAGTGGCCAGGGCTGGGCCAGACCAAAGCCAGGAGCTTCCTCTGGGTCACCAACATTTGTACAGGGGCCGAAGCAGTTGGGCCATCTTCCGCTGCTTTCCAAGGAGCACTATCAGGGAGCTGTACTGGAAGTGAGCCAGGTCTCAAACGGGCACCCATGTGGGATGCTGTCACCCTGGGTGGTGGCTTTACCTGCAACACCTGATTTGAAGCTGATATCCCAAGTGGCATCTTAACCAGTATGGCAAATCCTGACCCTGGAAGATTCTTTTTTGTTTGTTTAAGGTTTATTTATTTATTTGAAAGAGTTACAGAGAGAAGGAGAGAGAGAGAGAGAGAAAAGTCTTCCATCCACTGATTCACTCCCCAGATGGCTGCAATGGCCAGAGCTGCGCTGATCCAAAGCCAGAGAGCTGGATCAGAAGTGGAGTAGCTGGGACTCAAACTGGTGCCCATATGGGATGCCAGCACTGCAGGCGGTGGCTTTACCCACTAGGCCAGTATTAGCCCCTAGAAGTTTCTTTTATAGGCAATTGTACATTACTAAGAATGCTTATCCCAAATGTGGTGTGCTTAGAAGAAGCATTATACAGTAACAAGCATTTTATTAATTACCATTTTATATATTCACATGACATTTGATTCATTGATAGAAGACATCAGCCCAAATAGCCTACTGTAGTTCTGAAGACCAATAAATACCACTAGGAAAGGGACAATGGGAAAAAACACTTGTGCTCATTCAGAATTGGTGTGTCTGTACGTAAAATGCCTTAGAAATTTTTATTAGTCATGGAGAAGGCCAAGGAAGGCATTATGGAACCAGGAGCACGTGGAGGGGGTGACTGAAAGCATGCTGAGGAAGGGTTCTCATTTGAGGATAAGTGAGAACCAGTTTAACTTTTTTATTATTATTACTGGGGGCCGACGCTGTGGCACAGCGGGTTAAAGCCCAGACCTGCAGTGCCGGCATCCCGTATGGGATGTTCAAGTCCGGGCTGTTCCTGTTCTCAGCCAGCTCCCTGCTAATGCACCAAGAAAAGCAGAGAATAGCCCAAGGGCTTGGGCCCTTGCACACGTGTGGGAAACCCAGAAGAAGCTCCTGGCTTCTGGCTTCGGATAGGCTCAGCTCCAGCTCATGTGGCCATTTGGAGAGTGAACCGGCAGATGGAAAACCACTCCTTCTTTCTGTAACTCTTTCAAATAAATAAAATATTATTATATATTTGTCTCTCTGTTTAGAAGCCTGAGGACTCTTAGGAGAAGGCATAAGGAAGGTATGATCACATTTTGTAAAATTTGATGCCACAGTGCTGGTCCCAGTAATCACAGTCTTAACAATCCTGTAAGAAAGCGGCTTAGGGCTGGCACTGTTGTGTAGTGGATAAAGCTTCTGCCTGTGGCGCCAGCATCCCATATGGGTGCTAGTTTGAGTCCTGGCTGCTCCACTTTCAGTCCAGCTCCCTGTTAATGACCTGAGAAGGCAGTGGAAGATGGCCCAAGTGCTTGGGCCCCTGCACCCACATGGGAGACCTAGATGAAGCTCCTAGCCTCTGACTTAAGACTGGCCCATCTCCAGCTTTTGCAGCCATTTGGAGAGTGAACCAGCGGATGGAAGATCTCTCTCTCTCTCTTCAGCTCTGCCTTTCAAATAAATAAATAAATCTTAAAAAAAAAAAAGCAGCTCTAGAATGTACAAAATAGATTTAAGACAAAATTAATGTTATAATGCTATAAATGTTAGTTGATGTCTAACTTTTTACTCCAAAAATTAAAAAAAAAAAAAAACCCACAAACTAAGAAAGGTTTAGAAAAATAAGGAAACAAAGGAAGATGCAGATATTTCAGGGCTCATCCTCTGCTTTTGCAAGGGTTAGCCTGGAAGTTACTGTGCCTTCCACAGACTACTTTTTGCTGCCGTCATCAGAAACAGGCTGAGAATCTGTTCCACCTGAGAGAAAATTTCTTACCCTTTCTGTATGATTTCTTTCTCCTTCCTTCACTCTCCCCAGCTTTCTGGAAATGATACCTTTTCTAGTACTACTTAGTGTAGAAAAGCTTTGTTTTAACTTTATTCAAGTTTTCTTTGTTTCCCAACTTCATAACCACATTGTGTTTCCATTAGCTCTCTTTTGTATGGGACTCATTCTATGCTGCTGTGATCTTCCCGTTCGATTGTTGCATGATTTCACAGAGTAGACTTGGCTTCTGCTTGATTTAGACCTGTTTTTCCTTTGCCCTTCTCCAGTAAAGGACAAAGAGGTGTTTAGCAAATCAGGCATCTGTTTCTATGTTTTTTATTAATTTATGTATATGCATACACACACACATATAAAAGACTTGTTTATTTGAAAAGCAGAGTTACATAGGAAGAGAGAGAGAGAGACAGAGGCTGGGCCAAAGTGTCTCCCACATGGGCACAGGGGTCCAAGTACTTGGGCCATCTTCTGCTTTCCTAGGTGCATTAGCAGGGACCTGGATCAGAAGTAGAGCAGCTGGGACTCAAACTGGCACTCATAGGTGATACTAGCATTGTAGGCAGTGGCTTAACCTTGTTTTGTTGAAGAAAATGTCCATGGCATATGTCATGTGCACATCATATTTAATAACATTAGTTATGGATCCTGTAGAGTGCAAAATATTGTGCTAAGTGAAAGGCATTATGTAGTTACTAGTAATTATGATTGTAATAAGAATACTATTTTAAAAATAATTATAGGGGTCAGTGCCGTGGCATAGCAGGTAAAGCTGCTGCTGGTTCGTGTCCTGGATGCTCCACTTCCAGTTTAGCTCCCTGCTAATGTGTCTGGGAAAGCAGCGGAAGATGGCCCAAGTGCTTGGGCCCCTGCACCCACGTGGGAGACCCGGAAGAAGCTCCTGGCTCTTGGCTTTGGAGCGGCTCAGCTCCATCTGTTGGGGCTGTTTGGTGGGTGGGCCAGCAGATGGAAGATCTTTCTCTCTCTATCTCTTCCTCTCTCTAACTCTACCTTTCAAATAAATCTTTTTGAAAAATTACAATAATAAGTGATTATTTTTTTCTTATAGCTATGTCTGGTGAGAACAGAGAAAATACACTGTTTTATTCTGAAATTCCCAAAAGTGTCAACAGAGCAGCAGTCTTAATGCTCTCTTGGAAGCCTCTTTTGGATCTTTTTCAGGTAGGATTAAATATTGTTTTTCCCATAATTTGGTCTGTTTTCAGATGCTGCATTTATTTAGAGGCAGAAATTGAGTTGTAGCTTTTTATTTTTGAAATAAATGTGAATCAAAAATATTTTTATGTTTTTACATGTGTGATCTTTGAATTCCAATATCTGAAACTATACAATATTACAGTATTCAGTCATCTTTAACTGTGATCTCCCTGTTGAACTGCCTTTTCCCTTTCATTAACATTCTAATTCTTAATTTTTTGGAGGATTTTTTTAAGATTTATTTTATTTATTTGAAAGAGTTGCAGAGAGAGGTAGAGACAGAGGGAGAGAGGTCTTCCATCTGCTGGTCTGAGCCGATCCAAAGCCAGGAGCTTCCGCCAGGTCCCCACGTGTTTGCAGGCATCCAAGAACTTAGGCCATCCTCTGCAGCTTTCCCAGGCACATTAGCAGGGAGCTGGATCAGAAGTGGAACAGGTAGAACTCGAACCAGCACCCATATGGGATGCCAGCACTGTAGTCCAGGGCATTAACCTGCTGTGCCACAGCACTGGCCCTTGAAGAAATTCTTTACATAAAAGAGCTACCATATATTTCCATAAAGATTTTTACTTATATATTGAAATTTAATTTATAGTTCTAATGCTTAGTAACAGCATTAACTTAAATAAAGTTTGGGTTTTTCATCTAAATTGTATAATTTAGTTTGTATAAAATCAAAACTTAGAGGCTTTTGTTTCAGATTTTTAGACAAAAAATTAAATAGTTGAGAGTATCTCAGGACAAGATGATAGTCTGAGTATATTTGCCTTTTTGCTTCTCCTTATTTTTACATTATTTCTTCGTTGAATACCACATTAGGGCTAAAGTGTACTAAAACATATTTCTGATCAGAATTTTTAGAAAATAACCTTTGTAACTATCCATTTGTAATGGATGTTCTTATGCATAGGCTTTTTAAAAATTTATTTATTTGACAGGTAGAGTTATAGACAGTGAGAGGGAGAGACAGAGAAAAAGGTCTTCCTTCTGTTGGTTCACCCCCCAAATGGCCGCCATGGCCGGCGCTGTGCCGATCTGAAGCCAGGAGCCAGGTGCTCCTCCTGGTCTCCCATGCGGGTGCAGGGCCCAAGCACTCGGACCATCCTCCACTGCCTTCCCAGGCCACAGCAGAGAGCTGGACTGGAAGAGGAGCAGCTGGGACTAGAACTGGCGCCCATGTGGGATCCCGGCGCCGCAGGCGGAGGATTAACCAAGTGAGCAACGGCACCGGCCCCATGCATAGGCTTTTTTTTTTTTTTTTTTTTAAAGCATTCTTCCTAATTCTGAGAACAATGTATTGAACTGAAGTAATAGTAATTCTCTTAAGGAACAATTTGTAAATTACTAAGTCAAAAGGCTTTTGTTTTTGTTTCACTTTTATAATGGAAATTTCCGTAACATTCAAAAGTAAAATAACATATGAATAGTTTTCAATAATTATTAAATCTTGTCCATCAATCTTTTACTGTAGCCCTACCAACTCTCCCTCACAATCCCCACTCCTACTTCTCAGATTATTTTGAAGTAGATGCCAGTAGATTATTGAATTTGTAAGTAAATCAATATGTATCTCTAAATGACACTAATAACTCTTTTTAGTCGTTACAATATCGTGCTCACACCTAAAATTATTGCTTATTTCTTCATATCCTCACTTGTTCACTTAGCTTACAAATTTCCTGATTCTTGAACAGATTTTTTTCTTTCTTTTTTGTTAAACAATTTTTTTATAGCTGTATTTGAAAGGCACAGAAACAGAGAATAGTTGGGCAGAGAAAAAGAAAGAGAGACAGAACTATCTTTTATCTTTTGGTTTCATCCCCAAATGACTGCAATAGTTAAGTGTGGGCCAGGCCAAAACCAGGAGCCAGGAACTTGGGTGGTAGGGGCCCATCTTCCTTTTCATGTACATTAGTAGGGAGCTGGATCAGAAGCAGAACAAACACCCCAGACTCAAACCAGCAACATGGGATGCTGGCATCACAAGGAGCAGCTTAACTCACAATGCCAAAATGCTAACTTCTTTTTTTATTTCCCCCCAAAGATAATTTTTAATTATTTAATTATTTATTTTAATTATTTAATTATTTAAGGAATACAAACTTCATGTATTTCATAAGTACAACTTTAGGAATATAGTGATTCTTCCCACCCACACTCCCACCCCTCCTCTTCCCTCTCCATTGCCAGTCTCATTCCCCACAAAGATCCATTTCTTTTTTTTTTTTTTTAAATATTTATTTATTTATTTGAAAGTCAGTTATACAGAGAGAGAGAAAGAGGTCTTCCATCCACTGGCTCACTTCCCAATTGGAAATTTGAGGCACACAGACACGGGAAGTAAAGGCCCTGAGAAGACACAGATTAGACTTAAGTTGCTACAAGCCAAGAGGCTGCTAGAGCCGCCAGGAAGAGCCAAGGAAAGATTGCCCTATGGGGCCAGCTCTTGGCATAGCTGGTAAAGTCACTGCCTGTGGTGCCAGCATCCCATATGGGCACAAGTTCAAGTCCTGGCTGCTCCTCTTCTGATCCTGCTCTCTGCTATGGCCTGGGAAAGCAGAAGATGATGGCCCAAGTCCTTGGGCCCCTGCACCTGCATGAGAGACCCAGAAGAAGCTCCTGGCTCCTGGCTTCGGATCAGCGCAGCTCCAGCCATTGAGGCCAGTTGGGGAGTGGACCAGCAGATGGAAGACCTCTCTCTTCTCTGCTTCTTCTTCTTTTCTGTGTAACTCTGACTTTCAAATAAATAAATAAATCTTAAAAAAAAAAAAATTAGATTGACCTAGGAGGCTGACCCTGATGACTTCTTGAGTTTGGATTTCTGATCTCAGGAACTGTGAGAATAAATTTCTCACAAGTTTGTGATAACTTATTACAGCACCCCTAAGAAACTAATCCATGTCCTTTGATGCACAAATTTTTTAATGTTGATGAATTCTAATGTTTCTAATTTTTAATTGACAGACATAGAGAGACATCTCCCATCCTCTGGTTCACAATAACTGGGGCTAGGCCAGACTGAAGCCTGAAACTGGGAATTCAGTTCAGGCTATGTGGTGGCAGGGACCCAAGTACTTGAGCTATCATCTGCTTCCTCCCAGGGTATGCATTAGCAGGAAGCTGGAACTGGGAGTGGAGCTGGACTTGAACCCAAGCACTCCAGTATGGGTTGTGGGTATGCCAAGCATCACCTTATATGCTGTGCCACACACCTATCCCACCTTTGGTGTTACATCCAAGAAGGCTGTGCAGATTTTCATCTATGTTTTCTTATAGAAGAGTTTTATAGTTTTAGCTCTTTTTTTTCCCCCTAGTATTGATTTATTTATTTGAAAGGCAGAGTTACAGAGTCAGAGGCATAGAGAGAGAGGGGTCTTCCATCCACTGGTTCACTCCTCAAATGGCCGCAACAGCCAAAGCTGGGCTGATTCAAAGCCAGGAGCCTGGAGCTTCTTCCAGGTCTCCCATGAGGTGCAGGGGCACAAGGACTTGGTCCATTTTCTATTGCTTTCCCAGCTCTTACATTCAGATCTTTGATCCATTGAGTTAATTTTTGAATATGATATGAAATAGGGGCCCAAATTAATTATTTTACATGTGAATATCCCATTATCCCAGAAATGTTAATATCCCGTTATCCCATTTGTTTGAAGACTATCCCTATTTGAATGGTTTTAGCATGCTTGTTGACTATAAATATACAGTTGTATTTTTTTAAAAGATCTATTTTATTTGCAAGTCAGAATTATAGAGAGAGAGGGAGAAAAGGGGAGAGAGATCTTTGATCTGCTGGTTCACCCCCAGATGGCTGCAATAGCCAGGGCTGGGCCAGGCTGAAGCCAGGAGCTTTATCCAGGCCTCCCATGTCGGTGCATGGGCCCAAGGACTTGGGCCATCTTCCTCTGCTTTCCCAGGCACATTAGCAGGGAGCTGGATCAGAGCTGGAACAGCTGGGACTCGAATTGGTATCCACATGGAATGCCAACACCACAGACTGTGGCTTAACCAACACTGTGCCTCAGTGCTGTCCCTGATGGATGTATTTCTGAACATTAATTCTTTTCCATTGTCCTGTCTATCCTTATGCCAAATTGTATTGATAAATTTAGCTTTCTACTAACTTTTGAAATCAAAGTGGGAGTTTTCCAATGGTCAAGATCGTTTTGGCTATTCTGTGTCCCTTTTAATTCCTTTTGAATATTATTAGAGTCAGTTTGTCCATTATCTGGAAAAAAAAAGGCAGTTGGGATTTTGATAAGCATTCCATTTTACTGTCTTCAGTCCATGCACATGGAATGTCTTCCCATTTATTTAAATCTTTTTACTTTATTTAAAGTAGTTTTCTATGTATACTTTTTTAAAAATCAAGCATTTTATTTCAGAATAGTTTTAAATTTACAAAATAAAAATTGTGAAGTAGTATAAAGAGTTCCCATATACCCCCTACCTAGCAACCCCTATTTATGTATACTGCCATATTTAAATTTATTCCTATTTTTAAAAATATTTATTTATTTGAAAGGCAAAGTGTCAGAGAGAGACAGATCTTCTGTCCCCTGGTTCACTCCCCAAATGGCAACAGTGCTTGCCCAAGAGAAGCCAGAAGCCTGAAACTCCATCCTGATCTCCCACATGAGTGGCAGAGACCCAGGTACTTGAGCCATCATCTGTTCTTCTCCCAGGCGCACCTGTAGGGAGCTGGATCAGAAGCTGAGCTTCTGGGACCCAAACTGGCACTTTGATATAGGATACTGACGTCTCAGGTGGTAGCTTAACCTGCTGAGTCACAATGCCAGTTAGTCTTTCCCCCTCTCTTTCTCTTTTTCTTTCTCTCTCTAAAGAAAGTTTGAGAATTTTTGGTTTTAATTTTTTAAATATTTGGTAGAAATCATCAGTGAAACTCTTATTAATGGGATGTTATAGGTCTATTCAATTTTTATTTCTTTAGTCAGTTTATATATTTC